TGTTATAAAAATTTATTATTATTTAATTATTTGATATTTGTTGGTAATTTTTGTCGTGTGGTAACAAATAAAATTAATACTAGTTAAGTATTAAATTATTTACTTTGCTTTTTATTTTATTTAATAAAATAGATACAAAATTAAAACAAAGATGTTACAATATTAATAAAAGTTAAAAAAAATATTTTTTTGAATGTTATTAAAATTATAACATCTTTGTTTTTATTTTGTATCTACTGTATTAAATAAAATAAACCCCAAAGTAAATTAATGAAATAAATACTTAACTAGTTTTAATTTTATGTGTTAACACATGACTTAATTTTTATATTTATCAACACCACAAGCCACCATTAGGATTCCGATAAAACTTTAGATAAAATGAGAAATAAATAAAATATCAAAATTTAAACATATTTAAACTGGTACGGGAAGTTCCAGCAATTTGCCTTAAGGCACGATGCCATACACCACTAGTTATTTATTATATTTATGTGTTTAAAATAAATCTATTACTAACAAAACTCAATTTTAAATTCGTTCCTTTTTCATCAAATAAAATAAACTGCAAAGTAAATTAATAATATAAATTCTTAACTTGTATTAATTTTATTTGTTAACACACGGGTTAACATTTATATTTATCAACACCACAAGCCACCATTAGGATTCCCAATAAAACTTTACAAAAAAATTGTAACTAAATTTAAAAAAATGTTTAAAAAATTTAAATATATTATTACCTTTTATATTTCGCAAAATCATCTTCGACATTCTCCAAAACATCCAAAAACTCCTTTACCAATAAAAACAACTCTTGTATCATATTCAACATAAGAACTTGGTAAGCATTTCATTGTTGCATTGCACACACTAAAACATCAATTGTAACAAAAATCCTTAGCAATAAACACTTTATAATTATCTAAGAATACTAATACACAATCTTTTATCATTATTTCACCATTAATAATATTTTTTAAAAGGATTTTTATTATATTATTGGCTTACCAAGCCGAACGCCATCCTCGGACTGCCGAAGAGCATGCGCTGTCAAAGGGACAGAGGGACAGATGTCCTTTCTGGGCGCCCTTCAAGAGTGTTTGTTCCTGATCTGGCAACACTAGGCAGGGTTGTATTAGAGGATGTGGTAATACTTGCAGGGATGTACTGGAAGAGAAAGGATAATGGTAATAGAATTAGTTATGGGTATATGAAGGTTAGATAAATATTATTTTTGATATAGTGGAAATTCAATATGCAAATTATTAGGGAATAATTGTTATCACAATATTGAAGTACAAGGGACGTATTAGATAATTCATATATGTATATATATATATATATATATATACTAGCTGACCCGGCAAACGTTGTTTTGCTAAGTAAGATATATTCTAAACAATTTCTAGGGAATCAAAAATATTAATACTTTAAGTGTATAAGGATGTGTGTTGTTTGAATGCTATATACAATAAGGTATTATAAAATCAAATAAACCCCATTAGTTTGTCTATATTTTGTCTTAAAGTTTTATACACTTTCTATAGAAAACATGGTATAATCCAATCCAAGTCTTTTTTGGTCTTTCAACTTATTGATTACGTTTCAAGTCTTTCAGATTCTTTTTGGATTCTGGATTTTGTGTATATTTGAAAATACTACTACTGAGCTTATACAAAATTTTCAAATTTCTGCGAGGAGAGATAGAAAATGAATTAAGTATTTCTTCTTTGACCCGCTTTTTGAAAAGTTTCAAGTAACATTCGATGCAGTAAAGGCAATTTAATAAAAAGTATATATATATACGTAGAGCAGGGCAACGCACAAAGGTCCAATTTGACTTTGAGCAAATATTAATTATATTATAAAAATCAAACCAATTATATCACAACAAATAAGACATCTTAAACCAACACAATTATGACTACGTTCAGTAAAACTGCCAGCAACTTTATCACTGTAAAAATGTACTTTTTTGCTGTCTTGATGTCAAAAATGTAGACCTTTTTACCCTACAGGCGAAGTAACTTGGAACAGCCAGGTGGCAAACAGGTTTAATGTCTTATTTTAATTTGAACCATACAAAATAATTACATTTTTAACTAATGCTAAAAAAACTACCAACGGAAGAAAATACATTTATTATGGATTTTCAAAGATTACCTTTTATCTCCCGATCGCAAAGTCATGAGAATCAAGGTTATAGCTAGTTTTACATCTTCATCCCTCTACTTTCAAATATTGTTGTTAAACAATGCTTAACTTTACTGATTTTTGACACATCGGTGTTGGATCTTTTTAACCCCGGACCTTCATATATTACTATCTATTCTTCAATAAATTCTGAGAAATTTTAACTGGGAAAATGTTATTTGATAAAATGTCCCTTTGATCGATACCAAATTTAGGTTCTGAATTTAAATAACATAAAAAAAGTAATTTAATCTAGAAAATGTTTTATAAATACCAATGAGTATATAATTGTACAAATGAGATCTTTTAGAGCACCGTGTTTGAAAAAAATATGCTGAGAAGTGCATTTTCACATTAACATTTCAAAAAAGTTGATATTTTGAGTTTCCAGTAACACTTGCGATCCATTTAATAACGTTTTTATGTATAAATAATACTACAAACCAAAACTATTTACTACAATTTAATCACAATTAAATAATATTCACGTAAAACATCCTATTAAATTTTATAAAACATAATCTGTCCAAACCATTTGACATTTGACAAAAATGTTTTAATTAAAAATGTTATGTTTCTACGCGGTTTTGAAATAGTTTCCCACCTTTCACACAATCTCTGGATTAGCACGAATATTTCTAGACTAAAACTGGCCAAATCGGTTCAGCCGTTTTCGAGATTTAGCGAATTTAACATAATATCGAGCACCATTTTGATTAGAAGATAAGATTTTTGATTAGAAGATAAGATATATATTAGAGAATTTAATACACAATTTATTAGAGAAAAACCGCTAGAAAAATAATTAATTTATTATATAATGTTATTAGTAGTAGTAGTAGAAGACGCATGTTGGAATATTAGTAAGGAAGTACTAAGAAAAAAGAATAAATTAATTACAGGATGACTTTATTAATATAATAATGCAAATTTAATTTTAAAATGTAGTATTAAATAGATTTATTTCTGAATCCATTAAATTCATATATAGTACTTCTCTTATTCCTTATTAGGAAATAAGGAATAAGGCATAAAGTATCTAAGAATGTCGTAAATTGTCTGAAAGGGATTTTTAAAAATATTGTAAGATGTCTGAAAATGTTACAGAGTTTTCTAAAAATATTGCAGGATTTTATAAGAATATTGTAAGTTGTTTGGAAATGTTACAAGGATTGCTAAGAATGTTGTGGGTTGTCTGAAAAAGTTGCAGAATTTTTTAATATAATTGTGAGTTCGCTAAAAATGTTACATGGTTTTCTAAGAATGTCTAAACTTTTTGAAGATGCAGGTTTTTTTAAGAATATTGTAATTTGTCTAGAAATATTGAAGTTTTTTTAAGAAGGTCTACAAATGTTGCAGATTTTTTTAAATAATGTTGTAAATTATATGACAATTCTAAGAATGTTGTAAGCTACCTAATAAATATTGCAGAAATTTCTAAGAATGTTTTAGGCAGTATAAAAATGTTGCAGGGTGTTCTAGAAACGAATTGAGTAGTTGTAAAATGCCTAAAAAATGTTGCAGAGTTTTCTAAGAATGTAGTAAGTTGTTGCACAATTTTTTGAAGAATATTGTAAATTTATCTAAAAATGCTGCAGGGTTTTTCAAGAATGTTGTACGTTGTCTAAACATATTATAGGATTTTCTAAGAATGTTTAAGAACATCTAAAAATGTTGCAGAGTTTTCTAAGAATGTTGTGAGTTGTCTAAACAAGTTGCAGAGTTTGCTAAGAATGTTGCAAACTGTTTGAAAATGTTGCAGATTTTTCTAGGAATGCCCTAAGTTGGCTGAAAAAAATTATTTAAAAATATTGTAAATTGTCTGGAAATGTTGAAAATTATTTATCCAAAGATATTGTAAATTGTCTGATAATGTTGTAAATTCTCTGAAAATGTTGTAAATAATCTAAAAATGTAGTAGAATATTTGAAAATGTAGTAGATTGTCCGAAAATGTTGTAGTTAGTCTGAAAATATTGTAAATTGTTTAAAAATGTTATAGATGGTCTGAAAATATTGTAAATTGTCTGATAATGTTGTAAATTATTTAAAAATCTTGTAAATTGTTTAGAAATGTTGTAGATTGTTTGAAAATGTAGTAGATTGTCTAAAAATGGTGTAGAGTATCTGAAAATCTTGTAGACTGAATGAAAATTGCGCGAAAAAGATATAAATACAAAATATTGAAAATATAGAACTAAAATATTAACAAATGCAAAATATAAATTTGGATTTCTCTTTTCATAAATCATAATAAAAAGATGCAACCCAAATTAAATTGTAAGCCTTTTTAACAGAGTTTATCTTATAGAGTTCAGTAAATAGTTTCACTTCAGAAAAATAATAGTTATTTCTTTAACATAAAATTTCAGTATTTAAAATCTTATTAAGCATTATGAAAAGATGCTTTAAATGATAAAAATCGTAATCGTCTCAATCGTATTTTAAAATCAGTTCAGCAATTTAGGAGTCCATTCGAGACAAACATCATGAAATGTAGTTTATATATAATAATATAAACATTTCATCATTTATAAACTTGACCGTACAAAGAATCAGTCTATATTTATTACCATAGCATACATACTCACTTATATAAGATTAAAACTAAATGTCATAAATATAATTTAAAATTAACCTTTACATTTCAAAATCCTACATTCTTATAGCATCTTGCAATCTGCGCCTCGCCAGCATCACTCTGTCTTCTTGTCTGCGAATATCTTCATCAGCAACACTTATAGCTTGGACCAGCGGTTGTTCTGGGTTTAAAAAGACACCAGGATTAGTACCCAGGGCTGACTTACTGCCCGTTTGCCCTGGGAAAGAAAAAACAATAATATAGATAATTTTAAGTACATTAAGAGAATGTAATTATTACCTGTGACAGGCTGTCCAGAAACATGAAGTGCTGTAGCTAACGATTGTAATAAGGTGCTTTCAGAAACGTGTGGTCCAACTGCTTTGAGACCTTTGGGGAGTTCTACAGGTCCTAACGCTGTACCGTCAAGATCACAAGCTTTTAAACCCTTGAGACAAAAACCATAGGTACAAAAGATATAAAAATAGTGTATAAATCTTCTATTAGGTTACCTCTAATCTTTTCTCCCAAAACAATTGTTTCGGTTTATCCTGACAACCGTGCTTCAAATCAGTCTTCACTTTACCCTCTTGTGTTTTGAAAACTGTAACGGGTTGTTTGAAAATAGAAGCAGTTTGTCGAATCGGTGGGACTAAAGATGCATCAGCTCTTGCACTACGACTAAAATAATAAATAACAATTAACAGTGGTTTTGATACAAATTGATAATACAAATGTTTAAGATCTTTAGTTTATTTATAATTGATAAAATGTTACAAAAACATTCTTGTGGTATGTTTCTGAGTAATGTTATAAATAGCTAAGATCTAAAACATTATTAAAACCTGTAATACACGTCAACTTTTCCAGCGGAGATCCCAGCTTTTCTGAAAGCCTCTTCTTTTGGCCAACTTTTTGGAAGTCCTGCATATTCTGTCTTTTTTCTCTCAATTGTTATATTCATGATGCTTATTTAGAAAATCAACACAAAACGTCCAAAAGAACTTGCAAACTAAAGCACACTTATTACGCCTGTTTGTATCAATAAATTATTTATATATGCAAAGTTATTTGCTATAATATATAAGTTATTTATATATATTTAATAATATAATTTTTTCAAAGCTTTATGAAGACTCAATTAATGAAAACTGTCACCTGTCACAACAAACAAGATGAAGTGCGAAGTTAGGTACAAAAATATTTTCACCAAAGTAACCGCGAAATTTGAATTCAAATTTTCAGGAACAGAATATTTAAAACTAGGTATAAGTTGCATTTTGCCTTAGGGCAAGTTGCAAAAACGTGTAAATATGACTTGAAATATTAACTTAATTAATAACAATTGCGATTTAGCTATTTAGATGATCGAATTTCATTAATAACTAAATAATGTTATATTGTATTGATATTCCAAATGCAAATAAACTTATATTTGCAAATTATAACTTATATAAATAAATATATATATATATATATATATATATATATATATATATATATATAACAAATGTATTCTGAGTGGTAAGATATTAATTTAGAAATATGAACAAACAGCACATTTTTTTGCACTGATTTATTAAAATATTAATTTTACAGACGTTTCGAGACTAGGTTTGTCTCATCATCAGTTAACACATAATACTAATTTAAATTTTCACATTTTTGATTTTAAATTATAATACACTGATGATGAGACAAACCTAGTCTCGAAACGTTTGTAAAATTATTATTATTTAATAAGTTGATACAAAAAATATGCTGTTTATTCATATTTCTAAATTAATCGACGTTTTTTTTTGACTTTGAAATATATTCGAAAATAATTAATAGCCCATTCGTCAAAATGAAAAAATTAAGAAAAACATTTCTCTATTATTATACGTTTTGATACTTTATGTGTGTCATCATTCAGTAAATCAAGAATGTGTAACTTGTCACATTTTTACCCTCTTCTTACCCTCAAAATTCTGAATTTCTTAAACTAATTGAAATAGGCTTAGAATATTTCAATAGTCTAATTGAAATAGGCTTCTAACCCTCAATTTTAATTTAAAAACAATGTAGTTTCCTCAATAGTTATATTCACCTCTAGCAACATATTTTTGTTTGAATTTAGGGACCAATTTCGTAACTAAAATGCCCTAAACATACAGCCCTAAATTTTTACCCTCCCCTATCACAAACCCTTTTTGTTTCGTAAAAGTCATTTTAGAAAACAAATACTTTTTCATTTCTCGTTTAGTCAATAAATGTTTTTGACTTAATTTTCGTCCAGTTTGTTTAAGTTTATAAAAAAGCTAAAATTTTACAGCAGAAAAATATTTTATCAAAGGCTGTCCATCCCTAACATTTTTTTTTAAATTTTGGGATCAATTTTCTTTATTTTAATTTTCTATAATTCGAAATTGATGAACTAGAATAGAACTTTCTTTTACTTCGAAAAACTATTTTTATGAAGGATTGTCCACCCATATTTTTCTTAAATTTTGGAATCAATTTTCTTTCAATTTTAATTTTCATAATGCGTACAACTTTAAATTTTCACCCTACTTCTACTAATATCTATTTCATAATCGTCATTTTAATAACCGAATAATTTTTCACTGAATTTTAATTCATACTTCCCTGCCCACAGTTAATATGACCAAGAGCATATGTGACATGCTTTGCAGCGGGTAAACTATATATTTTTCGTAAGATGCTCCTTTCACTTATGCACCACATTTGCAATCAGTTATAGTTATTTTTATACTGAACATTTTATATTAGAAATATTTTTTATGTTAAAGCAACGTTTCCCGTGTCAGCTAGTATATATATATATATATATATATATATATATTTCTATCTTGAACTCCAAAGAGTGAATACATAGTTTCGACAACTTGTTAAGTTATCATAGTTATTAGTGTGTTTTACCATTTGTGATGTTAAAAAATGGATTAATAATGGTTTCATATGCTATATTAGGATACAAAATTTTAATTTGATTACCACTGAATGATGGCTAAGATGCCATCCGAAACGTATGGATTTTAAATAAATAAACTTTTAAAAAAAACTCTCATACTATTTTTATTGATGTTACGCCCGAATATTAAATTCAAATTAAACATATATTAGGTTGTCAAATATCTCCCTTCCGCTTTTTTGCTCTTGGTTTATAATACAAAAAGGCGGAAGGGAGATATTTGACAACCTAATATATCAACATCAAATTCAAGACTATTCAAATATATATATATATATATATATATATATATATATATATATCTGTATATATATATATATATATATACAAATATATAATAAATAAAAACCACGTTTTAATTTTTAAAAACATGTTTTTATTATTATAATACTTTTCCATAATAATAATGTGATGTATATATTCCATATTATCAACTATTATAAAACCACTCCATTGATAAATATGTTTATAATAAATGCATATTAAAAAGTGATTACAAAAATAAACAATGTAATGTAATGATTGAGTATCACAAATATTTCCTACTAAAATAAATCGCTACTAATCATGTACTGTGATTTCTAAGGGAGGTATAAATCTCCATATATGAGCAGGCGTTTGCAACATGGGGCTCATGGCCCTTTTACTATCGCTCTGTGATGACATTATGTGTATGGGGGCACTGCATTGGATATCGGCTTTGTAGCGCCCGGGGTTGAAAAAGACTACCGAGCATTCGTGATGTGCTTTGTCTTGCTCATTTAGCAAGGGTAATAGAATTCTAAAAGACAAATAATGGTGGTAAAGGACTCGATAAAAACAAAATTGGGCTTATGGGTCTATCACTTACTTGTTGGCTCCGGTGCAGGCCACTCTGGTTTCCAATCTGTAGTCGTTGATACCATTTTGGTGATCCTGGTAGAAACTTATGGACAGTGATAGATGTGATAAAGGTTTCGGCAAATGGTTTGCAATAGAAACACCTATTCTGACGCACTGTCCGGCTTGGCAAGAATATTCCTCTTGTGGTCGCAGTTGCTGGGCGTTTAAAGTCACCTCTGGAAGGAAAAAATACAATTATAATATATATATATATATATATATATACATATATATATATATATATATATATATATATATATATATATATATATATATATAGATAGATATAGAGAGAGACAACATGAATTAAGCGTCATTCATCATAAAAGCCAAAGTTTCCAAAGCACTCTTGTCCAACATTCCGTTGAAAATTCACATATTTTTACCTTTGAACCCAATATTTTATATATAGAGAGGATTGTACTTTTAAAAGAATATATAATTGCATGTACATGAATATATTATATATATATATATATATATATATATACAGAGCCGGTCCTGCCTTGCATGCGATGCATGCAAAAATGCGGGCGCACGCCTTAGGGGGCGCCAAAACAAGTTTCGGAAATTAAATTTTTAATATAATGTTTATATTTTTTTATATAAAATCTAGAATTATTTATTTAAAATCTAGAATACTTAATGAACTATAATAAATAATTTAACTTAACTAGGGATACGGAGACACAAAAGCATATTTATTTTGCAGTGTGATATCAGTACAATTAACCAATTAACACTTCTGCAAATTAGTAAATACCAGCTTTGTGTATTACTTAATCTACGTATTCAATTTTTTCTTTGTTTGAAGTTACCGTGGAATCAAAAAAGAAATTATCTAGTGTTCAATCCCATAAGCGCAAACCTGCGAAAGATTAAATTAATTGTTGGGCATTATTGACGAAAAATTGCCGGCTGATTTAGTTGAATCGGAACTTGTTAAAAAATATAAACAAATTATAAAAAATGGAGAGTTAGTGCTTAGAAAATGACTTGTTTATTCCGAGAAATTGAATTTTAACTTTTGCTTTTGTTGCAAATGTTTCGCATCTGCTGAACTTTGAATGTTGAAGACATGCGTGGAACAAATATGACTTTGGAATGAAAATCTTAAGGCTTGTTTTATACCTAGTGGTGTCCATACTCTAAATTTAATAAATATTAACTATACAGAAATAATACATATTAAATATAATATTTTTTTTTTCAATATTGTTCAGGAAATGTGTAATTTCTTTGCATTTTTTACTGATTTTTGAACAATACTTCTAAAATACGTTAAAAATTTAATTTTAACACAACAAGCTGATACTCTGAATATGACGGCTCTTACGATATCAATAAGGAGAAGTTTACGACGCAATTTTGGATATTGTAAATGATGAAAAATTAAATTAAATTAAAATTTAAGAAATCCAACATGAAATACGAGTGTTATGTTTGAAAATTAAATGTTAGATTTTTTAAATATTAATATTGCACATACGTTAAAAATAATTGAAAATCTCAAAATACTTGATTATAATCAACCCCTGAATCGCCTCGATTCTCTAAATAAATTTAAAATCAATATATTTTATACGCTTTTAGATTATATCTAATTTTTTGTGCACTAAATCCAGAATAATTAAAAATTAATTTATTTATTTCACTTAATATTTTTGTTGAATTAAAGTTATAGAATTTAGGAAATGCATTTCAGAAATAGCATTTATTATTCTGATATCAAGATCTTTATATCAAAATAATAAATACTATTTCTGAAATGCATTTCTTAAATTCTATAACTTTAATCTAACAAAAATATTAATTCTTTTGCTATAGTAGTCGAATTTACATTCTTAACCAATTTACTACGTATTGAATATTACTAAAATGTGAAATTGTGACAGGGATTGTTTTACTTATTGATATCGATAATAATAAATAAATTTAAAATCAATATATTTTATACCCTTCTAGATTATATCTAATTTTTTGTGTACTAAGTCCAGTATAATTAAAAATTAATTTTTAATGTTGGTAAAAATTAATTTAATATGTAAATATTTATATAATTTTAATGATAAACTTTTAAAATTAATAGGGGGGGGGGGTAGGCGCTAGAAAAAAGTTGCATGCGGGCGC